CTTTCCTGAGTAGTTTATTGGAGATGAGAGTCTCAAGAACTTTCTGTCAGGCTGGCTTCAAACCATGATCCTTAGATCTCAGGCTCCTGAGTAGCTAGGAATACAGTTATGAGTCTGGCTGAGTTTACATATATATAGTTATATATATATATATGTATATATGTATATATGTATATATATATATGTATATATATATATAACTATTTTTCTTTTAACTATAAAGATCTCTTAATGAATTTGTTTTATATTGAGCAGAACTGATGAAAGATGAAATCTATGCTACTCTTAGAACTTTGTTCAATATATTCTGTGTTTGTTGCTGTTAAAAATGTTCCTTTAGGATTTTTGCTAATTGGTTTAATTTTTCAGAATTAAAATGGCATCTCTAAGTATACATTTATAGTTCAAGCCTCATTTCAGATATTTATAATCTTCTCAAGCTATTCCATTTTTATCAGGCTCGCACATTCTAAGTTTATTTTTTGTCTTTGTCTTTTACGTTACAGTCATCTCCTTTGCCAATTATCTCTTTCATGTGTTATACTAAGTAAATCATCTGAAGATAACCTGGTAGGATGGAATTTGATCCCATCTTTGCCTGTATTGTTTCTTAAGTCCTCTTGTCAGCGCAGTTTCTCTCATTTTCTCATTAAAAGTTGTTCCTGTCACAAAACAATTGCCTATTCCACACATATGACTAATACCACCACTAGTTTAGCATTAGAAACACAAAGTTCCATGATTACACTCTTCAAAGAGCTGAGCATCATCAAAAAGCCCTATGCAAATGAGAAATAAAGGAAAAGAGATTCATTTTTTTGCACCTTGCCTAAAATATTATCATATCAAAAACATAAAAGCTGTTTCTGTTCAGGTGATGATTTCTGAGGTACCATAAAACATAAAGCCAGTAATTTTAAATTTATTTCCAGTAAGTTTATTTTTATAAAAGAAGCATATTCTATGCATCTTTGTTGACCTAAATCTTTACAATAAAACACTTATTTGCATATATCTATATGAGAAACTTGTAAAATACTTGAAAACTAAAGTTAATTGAGATATGGATTGTTTCTTTTGCATGAAAAATTTTCTCCATGCCCATGAAATAGATGAGATTGATAGCCTTATTTTATTGATAAGGAAACTGAAGCTAGAAAGTGAGCTATGGACTTGAAGCTACCAGCTAGTCAGTGAGAGAGCTGACAGCCAAATCTACCTGTTTGAATCCACCGTATTATCTTTTTCCTGTCACTAGATGAAAAATATCTGTCTGTAGGGAAGCTTGGGATTCCCATATCAACCAATATCTATTATTATCAACTACCAATTTTATACTGTCTGTTGTTTACAGATATCATCAGTCTATCTACTCACATTAATAAACATCTCCTTTAAAGATGCTGGGGATAGTAGTGTTTCCTTTGGTCGCATCCCCAGAAGAATCTGTTATGTATTTTCTTGATAATGGCGAGGTATAATCTCAATGTGGTTTTGATTTGCATTTCTTTTATGGCCAGAGATGTTGAACATTTCTTCATGTGTCTATTGGCTATTATCATTTCCTCTCTAGAGAAGTCACTTTTAAATTCTTTAGCCCAGTTATTAATAGGGTGGTTGTTTTTTTGAGGATTTGTTATTGGGGAGTTTAATTTTTTGAGCTCTAGATATATTTTTGATATGAGGCCCTTGTCTGTTGTATAGTTAGTGAAGATCTTCTCCCAATCTGTGGGCTTCCTATTTATCTTGTTAGCTATGTCCTTTGTCATGCAGAAGCTCTGTAGTTTAATGCAATCCCATTCATCCACCCATTTTTTTTTTTTTTAGATTTGTTGTGTTTCTGGATGTTTATTTAGAAAGTTCTGACCTGTGCCAAGGAGCTCTAATGAATCCCCTCTCCATTCCTGTAATATTTTCAGGGTATTTGCTTTTAGATCAAAGTCTTTGGTCCATTTGGAGTTGACTCGGGTACAGGGTGATATATAAGGATCTAACTTTAGTTTTCTACACATGTATAGCCAATTCTACCAGCATCATTTGTTGAAGAGGTTGTCTTTTCTTCCATCTGATGATTTTTAGCTCCCTTATCAAAGATGAGATGGCAATAGGTCTGTGGAATCATTTCTGTGTCTTCAATTCCATTTTATTAGTCCTCAGGCCTGTTCATGTGCCAGTACCTAGCTGTTTTTATAATGATGGCTTTACAATAGAGTTTGAAGTTTGATGTTGATATTCCTCCAGCACTGTTTTTCCTGCTGAGGATTGTTTTTGCTATTCGGGGTCTTCAGTTATTCCAAATGAGTTTTTGGTTTGCTGCTTGTATTTCATTAAGGAATGTTGGTAGGATATTGATGAGTATTTCATTGAATTGCATAGCTTTTTGTAAATATTGCCATTTTCAGAGTTTTCTATTGTTTGTTTTTTTAAAAATGTACTTTGTGAAGTCATTTCTTTTTCCTTTCATTTTTCCCCTTTGATTTATCCCCTGTTGTTGCTGTTTTTAATTTTGGTACCCTGTGTCTTGTACATACTTTTATCTGATTTGGCGAAGGGAAGGGGAATGACAAAATGGTGAGACAAAGGACAAAGTGTGAATCAATGCAGCAGCAATACTCACAAGACACTATGTTGGAAATGAACTTTACAACTTGGAGGGGAGGGAAGTTGGGGGAGAGGAAAAGTGGGAGAAAATGAGGTAGAGAGTAACACTGACAAGAAATGTACTCATTACCTTACTTAGATAACTATAACCCCTATGTACATAACCTTTACAATAAAGCAAAATAGAATTTAAAAATGCTAGTGATGCATGACTGAACCCAATAGTCTCCTGCCCTCATATTTGGGAAATGGCCACCCTGCAAAGTTGTAGGAAACTGGATGTATTCAAGACAGAGAGTAAATGTAATGTGCAGAAGAGGAGCTCACAAGTTTCTGTTTACCTTGCCTGTCTCAGTTTGCATATCATGTGGCCTTGCCAACTGGCTATTGGGTTATCATTGACATTATGGCTATTGGGTTATCATTGACATTATGGCTGGTGAGGTACAATCCCAACAGAAACTGGGGTGGACACCAAGCTTTGTGCTGGAATGAGGACAGGACAGTGAGAGCTCAGTGTGGCAATGCATGCATGAGGGAGGTGGCTACTGCTCTCAGGGAGCATATACCGGAGCCCCAAAGCTGACCTCAGGTTAGGACTAATAATGAAATCTAGGAGACATTATCAACTTCAGACTACAGCTCAGATGTCAGCATGTGTTCCCAGCATTCCCTGTAAACCTCCTTGAGAAATCAGGTCACCAAACTTGTCACTTCCTTAGCACAGACTCGAATTCCACCAGAGAGAAGGAAGCAGAGAAAGGGAGAATGAGAGAGGATGCATGAGAGACTGAGAATACTTAAGGGGGTGTAATACAACCTAAATGGACCTCTTTTTTCATTTTTTAAAAAAATTATGTAACCTTTATTGTTATTATTAAATGTTGTACAGAGGGGTTGTCATTTCATAAGTCAGGTAATAACTACATTTCTTCCTTTTGACAATGTCACCCCTTCTTTTTCTTTCCCCCAGTTTCTTCTTCCTCTCCTGTCCACAAGTTACATAGGTCATTTTCCACATGCTGTAAACAGAATAGCATGACTACATTTGTTCACCCTTCCACCCTCCCTTTCTGTGCTCACTTTGCCTCCCCTAAAAAAAAAGCAAAAACAAACACCATCACCACCACCACTAACAACAATAAAAACAACAAAAAAACATGTTTCCATTGCCTGCAACTCATTTCCATAAATAGTATCGCAAATGTTCAGGAAAGTTACACCTTTGAGTTCCTTCTCCAAGAGCATTCTGTAAAGGGACCTCTAATGCATCAAAAGGATTAAGCTTTTAATCAAAGAAAAGTAAAAGTTGTTTTAGTCCAGTAGTATATAGTTAATAGAGTTGGAGCAATGTCTTGATTGGCTATGGTCTAAGTAATACTATGGCTATGGTAAAAATAAATTTTTATTGGCTATGGTCAAAGTTAATGTTCTTTGGACACTCAAAATACAGTTGAATTAAACCCTGTCTACCTTATATATGATCCATTCATTGAATTCCTTTTTTTTGCCAGGATTTGTAATGTATTACTTAATTCTCACATAAGCCTTATAATGTAGGAACCACTTACATCTTCCATTTTATCAATAAAGTAAATGAGTTGCCCCAAATTTCATAGCAACAGAGCTGAGATAGAAAGATGAATTGTATTTTTGAATTTGAAACTTTAAGTGAATTGGATTTTTGAATTTGAAGATAAACAACAGGAAACTTCTGAATAAAGAAACCTGGGCCATTTTATAAAGGAGTATTTGCTTTCTAATTTGCATTTGAGATTTTGGTCTTCAGACATGTTCTAAAGAAAACCAGAGTATAAAAGAAACAGGAAGAATTCTGCCAAACTTTCTGGCAGTGAGGTAGTGACACCTGTGCATTAGAAAGATGCTGTCAGTACAATTAGGTACACAATGCCAGGAAGAATCACAGCTCTCATACAATGACACTAAGCAGCCTCCAATGGGGATGTGTTCAAGGTATGGACATTGATGATACTTGGAGTGACTCAAATCTGTGTAATCCATGCTTGGCCACATAATAATTACACATGTCAGCTACTACTTCAAGCTAATTTCCATAGAATTAAAACAGTAGCATAGTAAATCAGAATTAAATGACATAAATATATAACACACTTCCATGGTTCCTGCAATGTAGTTGGTGCTCAAACAGATAACTTGCATCTGTTTCAATCTCAAGTTTTTTCTCTAGTGAAAGCTGTGTTATTAAGTTCACTGTCTATGATATAGTAAAAGAATCACTTTAAATCTAAGGTTTTGTTTTTATATTTAGCAGATGTAAATAGGCACTCAATGCTTTAGAACCTGAGGTTCCCATGAGATAGCATAAGAAATGACCTCCTGGAGTGCATTTATCAAGTTTAGAAAATGCATTTGCTTACCAGCTCACTGAATTCATTATTTCCTAGGTCAAGTCTTTCCAATTGGGCCAGTTTGTGCATTGACCTGTAACAGAGGAAGAAACATAGTATTATGAGGGAATATATGATTTATTACTTAAAAAATACCATACTCAAGTCTTTTGTTATGTTCATCTGACACAAATTGTAGACTATACAAAATTTGTGTGGTACGCAAAAATGAGGATTATTCTTCCATAAGACATAAATTGCAAACAAATGTGAATGTACACAAACTGCAACCTGATGGCCTTTGTTTGGTAGCTTATCATGAACTTCTACAGTGTTGGTTCCTATATGAGACTATATTGTTGAAAAAGAGGGCTGGCTGTTTAACAAAAGCCTGGTTAAATATCTATGCTAGGAGGGGGTCTGCTGTGAAATCTCATAATGTATACTTTTAAGAATCATCATTGTTTTGAGAACCAATTCAATTCTTAGAAAAGCATTCTAAAACTCTACAATACAGAGCTTTTAAAAAAACCATCAGTTTTGTTCCTGAATGAAATTATATTACAGACAAATTTAAGTGGTCTTTGTCCCCTATAAGTATTGTCTCAATGCTGCAACACTTCTGACTATTTGAAAGACTGTGAGCAAAACATTGTGTTAAAGGTTAGGGTACACTAACATACTCCAAATGCAGTCATCATTTCCCAAGCCATTCTTAAATAAACAGAAAACATGAAAAGATGGTGTTTTCTGCAAGATGTGGTCTCCCTATCACCTAGATTACTCTTACGAAGTCCTATCTAGGAAGAAAGTCTTAAAGCATCTTGGTCCTACATCTTAGAATTTCTTAATTTCTTCTTTAAAATAGGCTCTTTTTTTGTTGTTGGTTGTGGGGCTTGAATTCTGGGCTTGGGCACTGCCCCTGCACTCTTCAGCTCAAGCCGAGCAGTCTACCACCTGAGCCACAGTGCCACTTCTGTTTTTCTGGTGTTTAATCAGAGAAAAGTCTCATGGACTTTCCTGCTGGGCTGGCTTTGAATCATGATCCTCATATCTCAGCCTCCTGAGTATCTAGGATTACAGGCATGAGCCACCAGCGCCCAGTAGTTATTTGGCTTTTATCAACATCAAACATAATACTCTTGCAGCTCAAACACTATCAGGGACTTAAAAATGGAAAACAAAACAAAACAAAAGCCAACCAGAGATGTCAATCAAGTCTGGAGTATAAGAAAAAAGTCCAAGAAAGAAAGACATTTGACCTTAGCAGCATAGAAATGCATATAAAGTTGTGAGGTTACGAGATCATCAACATAGTGAGTGTACATGGGAAGAAAATAGGTCCAAGAGGATGTGAAGTTGAGTCTAAAAAGAATGACAAGTAACTAGGGTCCTAGAAGAAAAATCACAGGAGTATAAAGTACATGAAGTAAGACAAATCTGACAAAGTACAATGAAAGCTGCTGATAGGTCAGAGAAGAGACTCTTTGATTGAACAACATGGGGATTTTGATATGAATTTTCTTAGTGTAAAACCTTTTGCTAAAACCTTCATTCCATTTAATATCCCTTTACTCATTCATTTCTCAATAAATAATGCTTGATGGGAGCATAGCATGGTCATTTGTTGACAGATAGTCTATGATGCTTTTGCATGTCAACCATAAAACTGAGCACCTGGGACAGGGAGCATAAGACTGTCAAGCCTGAAACATTTCCTATTTCTGACAGCCACTTTCTTTCTATATTGAACATGCCTATTTAACTCTAGACTGACCAAGATCATGTATAAGGAAACAATAAGTATCAATTTCTTTTGTGTGGGAAATGGGCAGCCTCTAGACCACCTGTGAACTTTTTTTTTTTGACTATTCTAGTCTTGGACTCCTACTTTTTTTTTTTTAATTTAATTTAATTTTATTTGAGAACATACTGTACAGAGGGGTTACAATTACATGGGCAGGATAATGCATACATTTCTTACCAAGCATTGCAGCCTCCTCCTTTGTTTACCCTTCACCTCCCTTCCCAGCCTCCCCCCTCCCCCCCACCCAATCATACCCTCCCTCCCCCCCCCCCCCCCCCCCCACACCGACATTGTAAAGCTGGTTTTGCCATGACATTTTTTGGACTCCTACTTTTGAAATATTTGGTTCATAACTTCATTACCTACATGCTATATTTTATGGCATAATTTCTTCTCCTTCCTATTGGAACTGAAATTTGTTTGCTAGGGAAGGGGGAACTTTCCCTTGGTACTTTCTAAATTATTTCTTGGACTTTAAGTTATTTTATTTTATTGTTATTTTTTGGGGGGTCCGGTTGTGGGGCCTGAATTCAAGGCCTGAGTGCTGTCCCTCAGCTCTTCAGCTCAAGGCTAACACTCTACCACTTGAGCCACAGCGCCACTTCCGGCTTTTTTTTTTTTCTGCTTATATGCTGAGTAATTGAACCCAGGGCCTCAAGCATGCAAGGCAAGTGCTCTACCACTGAGCCACCTTCCCAGACCCCCTTAAGTTATTTTATAAGGTTACTTCTTTTTAAATTTAGACTCATTTTATTTTTACAATCCCACTTTACAACAATTTTCACTTGCTATCATTACTTTTGTCTAGGATTATATGTTTCCATTTCTGAAGCTCTCTTTCCAATATAATGTCTTTCATTTTAAATATTCAGTATGAAATTGCTGCTTTTGTTTTCAAAGATGGCATTGAATATTGTTTCTATATTTCACCCCTTTATAAAAGGCTCTTTTCACTTACCCACAAGTGGTTAGATTGTAGACAGTCTATAACATGGCCTATTGCTTTTTTGTTCATATGCTTATTGCTAAACTATAATCATTCTGTCAAATGCTTCCTCATTTTTCTTTTAGATGACCATATGCATGAAGTTTTAATTTTTATGATGATGCAAGCAAATAAGCCTGTCAGAAAAAATAGACTAGAACTCATGGTATTTGTGCATTAGTGTTCTTTGTGAACATTCATTCATTTGCTTAATCATCTGTGCTCCTTTTTTATGGAAGGTACATGTGGGCACTGGAGTTATAAAGATTTCTGAAATGCAGGATTTCTCAACCTCAGCATTGCTGACATTTTGAGCTGCCTAATTCTTTGATACTGGGGGCTCCCAGTATACTGTGGGGGTATTTAGCACATCCTACACAGCCTCTATTCTGAAAGGCTTATTTTCTAAATGGAAATGACCTTTAAGTGAATAATGACTACATAGGGTGATAAGTACAAGAATAAGAGTATGTATAGATTGCTACAGGAACTCAGAAGAAAGAACAACTAACAATTCAGTAATTAAGAAAAAAAAATGCAGGAAGAGGTGACATTTGCATTGGGTTTTAGAATCACATATATTTGCACATTGAAAAGAATGAAAATACAGAGAGAATACATCTGGAGTTGCAATATAATCCACCTACTTGGAATTGTATCTTAAGATAATAGTATATCAGATATAGACATGTATTCTCAAAGAAGTAAATGATTTTTGGTCCAAATTGAAGAAATTCTAAAATACCCATTAGAGAATGTAGGAGACCCAGTATTCTACTTTCACTGCTAGAAAAGAGAACATTGGGGATGTAACACTTCACAACTTGGCACTACAATTTGATTGGGGTATTATTGTTTATTTTAGGGGACTTTGAAGCACCTATGAGTCTGTTCACTAAGTATCAGTTAACACCCCAGAGCCGTCAAAATTAAATTGTTCCTGGGTATTATCAGATGTTTTCTCCTTTTACTTATTAGTAGGAATATGAACATAGTATGTGTGTGCATTGTCTACTTCTTACTATGGGAGATTTCCATGAGCTCTGTCCTTATGCTAGTCAAAGTGGCATGCTTAAAATATGCTCATTGGCTCTGCTTTTTAAAGTAAGCACATGCATCTTTCTGTCTTTGCATGCAAGTCCAACTGATACCAGATCCCCCTTTGCAATGCTTGGCCTAAAAGCCAAAGTCATTACCACAGTTCAGGCAGTAAACTTGGTAAGAAGTTTGGGGCACATTCATCACCACTAATGCCGACATTTTGATGTTTGTTGGTCAGAACTAGTTGTCATGCTGGTAATATAGATTCGTCCATATGTTAATTTAGTTAACTTAAGCAGCAAATTCTAGTAAAATTAATTGCATTAAGTAATATTTTCCATGCCACAGTAACATTATAGGTGTTGCTGTTACTCCTCCCATCTGTGATGTCCTTCCTGACAATCTTCATAACCATATCTTATTCCTCATTCCAGTTCACGTTTCTTCTGTAGATAGTCATCTATAACCACCCTAGACACAATTTTCTCCCTTGCATTCCACTCTATGTACTACACGTGCATAATTTTCTTTTAATACTTGCAGTCATCCTTCTGCTATGGTTTAAACTCCAGGAGAGCAAGAAACCTACCAGTTTTATTCACAACATAAACAAGCTTCTCAATCAGGACTGCTAAATGGATACTTTCACGAAGAAATAAATGACTGATTTTTTTTTAAAAAAGATACTGCACAGAGAGGTTACTATTCCACCAGTAAGGTAATGATTATATTTCTTGTTGGGCATTGTTGCCCCCTCCTTTGTTTTTCTCCCACTATCTCTTCCCTTCCCTAACTCCTCCACTCACTCCCACAAAGTTGTAAGGTTCATTTCCAACATAGTGTCTTGTGAGTCTCATTGTTGCAGTGGGTCATCATGTGACCTTGCTTCAGCATTTTGTCATTCCCCTTCCCTTCCCCAAATTAGATAAATGTATCTACAAGGCACCAAAATCAAATGCAGCAACATCAAGGATATACCCTAGGAGGAAGAACATATAGAAGAAACAAAGAAAAAAAAACACATAGTACTTTAAAGACAAAAACAACAAAGAAAAACCTCTTGTGTCCACATCTTGGGATTCATTTTGCTTAGCATCCACTTATATGGTCATATGTACATGATTTTTGAGCTTTCTGCTCATCTGATAAGATATCCTAGATATACACTAATTATTGCAAATGAGGGAAACTGTGGGAAACTGTTTCTTTGGGCCTGCTTACTTCACTTAATATGATTTTTTCCAAGTCTTTCCATTTCTAA